TTAAAGTGCTATATATAGTTGGTATAAATATTTTTTAGACATCGTCACATTCTCTTTTGTCTATATTCTCACAAAACAAGTAAAAATATGACCAAAATAATTGTCCAAATAGGTAAATGATACCTGTAAATCCTCAAGAGTTAATGTGAAAATTTAATCTATAGACTTTTAGGATAACTAAGCTGACTTAATTAGCTTAATTTGTTGGCTTAAATAAATTCTATTTATTTGTTTAAACTTAACTAAACATTTGAAATGAATTTTGAGAAATGTTACATTGAGCATAAAATATATAAGGCAGTCAGACAACAATATTGATTCTTCACAGATGAACTGGTACAATGTTACTAGTATATACTTCATTAAAATATCTTTTTTATAAGACATGCTACTACTATTTTAAAAGAAATATATATACATATTTGGATATAACAGTTTTATCATGAGTAATTTGTTAATTAACTGGACTTAAATAATACTGTTTAAAATATACCTTCAATATTACTTTTGATTGACAAATCTTATACACATTTATTAGGGACAATATTATGTTTTGATATATGCATATGACAAAGAATAATTACATTAAAGTAATTTAACATATCCATCAACTTGACTATCATTTTCTATGGTAAGGTATTTGAAATTTACTCTTTTATCTATTTTTAAATATATATTATTATTGTGTATAGTCACCCTCTTGTATAACAGAAATGAAAAATTATTCTTGTCTATTTGAAACTTTATACCCTTTGATCAACAACTCCCATTGTTTCCCTCTTTACTTACCCTAACTCCAGCCCCTTGTAACCCTTACTCTGTCTCTCTACTTCAACTCTATTAGATTCCACATATAAAAGTGAGATCACTTAGCTGGCAAGATGACTCAGAACACACAAATATACACACAATAAATAAATGCAATACATTATCTTAAGTGAGATCATGCAGTATTTGTCTTTCTGTGCCTGGCTTATTTTCCCTAGCTCAGAGCCAGATTAATCCATTTTGTCACAAATGACAAAGTTTCTCCCTTTTTCTTTAAAGGCTTAACAGTGTTCCACTGTGTAATATGCCATATTTTTTATTTCATTCATTCATAGATGGCTATGTAAGTTGTTAAATCTTCCTATTTTTTGTTTTTATTTGAGACAAGATCTTCCTATGCAGCTAAAGCTGACTCTGAACTCACTATGTAGACCAGAATGGTCTCTTGTGATCCTTTAGCTTCAGCCTCTGGGGTGCTGGATAACACATGTGTGCCATCATGGCTGGATCTAATTTTCAAGGCAACATTTGGAAACAAATCTCTAATATGGAAAAATGTCCTTATTTCTGAAAAAAATTATTTTTATTTTATGTGTATGAGTATTTTATTTTGCCTGCGTGTATGTAAGTGCACCTGTATATGCAATGCCTCAGCGGCCAGAAGAGGGCGTCGAATTGCCTAAAACTGGTTACAGACAGTTGCTAGCCACTATATGTGTGCTGGGAACTCAACTGAAGTCCTCTGAAAGAGCAGCCAGTGCTCTTAACCACTGAGCCATCTCTACAGCTCCCAAAGTCTCTATTTTTAAAAGAGCTTTTTAATAGTTAATCATGACTGCTCCACCTAAGCAAACTCTTCTCTAGTCCTAAAATTTCCAACTTCTTAGAGTTTAGCTTGGCTTCTGTGAAAGTGCCACTCAACTGGAAATTTTCCTAGTTGACCAATGCCAACACAGTTTTCTTATAAAAATCAGTTTCCAGGTGTCTGCAGGACAAAAAAGGTTCAAAACTCTAAGTTAACAATTTTCTTAGTATAGTGAGTGGCCACCTGATGGCCCTAGATTATTCTGGAGCAACTATAATGTACCTAACTGTTTCAAGCTCTGTGCAGACCAACATCTGATGGACTTGCCAGTCTGTATATGTGTGTGTGTGTGGGTAACTAGGAGAGGAAGAGTGTGGGGGCGGGTGTTTAAAGAGTATCCTGTAATTTAACAGATAGCATATTACATTTTTCTACACTGTTTCTGTTTTCAACTATGAACCTGTAGTACCCTATGGAGGTTGTATCTGTTACTTTACAAGACACAGAAACAGGGCTATAGAGATGGCTCAGCATTTAAGAGCATTGGCTGTTCTTGCAGAAGACCTGGGTTCGAATCCCAGCACCCACATGGCAGCTAACAACTGTCTGTAACTCCAGTTCCAGGGGATCTGACAGCCTCTTAAGGGTGGAATAAAGGGTAATATGGGGTCTAGAGAGATTGCTCAGCAGTTAAGAACACTGGTTGCTCTTGTAGAGGACCTGGGTTTGGTTCCCAGCACCCAGATCGTGACTAACAACCATCTGTAACTCCAGTTCTAGGGGATCTGATGCCCACTTCTGTCCTCCATGGGCACTGCATGACATGGTACACTTACATATATGCAGGCAATACACTCATATACATCAAATAAAAATAACTAAATCTAAAACTAAAAATTAAAAAAAACACAGAAACATTGTAGATGGGTATCTTTCTAAGCCTAAAAGTCATATTAAATACTGTGGAAAAATAGCATTATCAGAAGGATTTTATTCATGATTAAATTTATTCAAACTCATCTTACTAGTTTGTCATTCTACTGGAAAAACTGCATCTGTATTATGAATTAAATATTCAGAATATGGATTCACCCAATAACTTAATTTCCTATAATCACTTTCCATATCATTTATATTGCAAAATGGTATTTCCTTCAGCCCACATGAGAATTATAAAGGGATAGGTTGTTATTATCATTTTAGGATATTATTTTAAAGCAAAATGCATATTTTTTGTTAAAAAGGCTAGAATTATTCCAGACTTGTGAAATTGGAAGAGGCCTCTGGAGACCACTCTGACTTCTCATTCTAGGATTGTAACAGGTCATTAACTTCTCCATCTGAAATTACCTCACAGAGGAAACTCCAAGGGTAGAAATCTGGCTGAGGTTACAAGCCTTTCGACCCAAAGTGTAAAGGTCCTTTAGGCCCAAAATTTGTTTTCTATCCTTAAAGTTGTACATCAATACATGCAAGGCTTGGGAAGAGATTATTTTTAACTGCTTTGTTTACTTTTCGAAAAGGTTAACAAATAACCTCTGTCATTTATCATTCTGTGGGTCCACAAGAATATAAAACAAAGCAGCAGATCAATTCTCTATGGATCACTTTACCTCTAGCACTTAGGCCGCCACAGAGTGAACTGCCTGATTCCCTCTTTCAAGCATAACTGGGTCTGTGTTGCCAAGCCTTGTTGTCCCCCACCCCACTTTTTAACAACCATTATTTCTGATAACTCAATAATTATATTGTTTTCCTCTAGTCTTCCCCCAGATTATGAAAAATTATACAGTAAGAAAGCTGTTGGGAAGCTTCTTTAATATAAATTGAGGCTTTCTCATTTTTTCTATTAAAACTCCCTCTTAGAATGACATGAAAAGATCTCCCTCCTCACGGCGTGTCCGTCTGTAACTGGCATCAGGGTTGTTCATGTCTCCTACCCAGTGCCCTGCCTAGCTTGCAATCAGTGCTGTTATGACAGTCTTCTTTAGTATATCTAACGCATGTTTTCAGAACTTTACTTTCTGTAATTCCTCTCAAGCTTCCAAGTGGCCTCCGTAATACCTTAAAATCTAGCTTAACATAGAAAGAAAACTCCTCCATTCCTTTGTTTTTATTAACCAGAAAGCTTAGGAGGCTTTGTTTATCATCTTAATATTTTCATAGTACCTTTTTTTAATTTTGAGGATTTTAGTTTCCAAATGTTGATCCAGTAAAAACTGAGATATTTTAACACTGATTATTGTTGTCATTTTATTTTTCACATATATATACAATTATAATAAAATAATCATGCTTCTAAGTACTAATTTGCTTGAATGTATATATTAATTAAATAGACCTCCTCCCCGTCTGCACCCCCATACCCCACCCCCACAGGATTTCATGCATTCTGTCAGAGATGTTAAGGCCTATTAAGTCAAGTTTATATTCCCAGATGTCCTTTGGTGTGAGTTCAGCTACTGGGGCCTGAGACAGGGTCTCCCTGTAGCCCCAGTTGGTCTGGAACTCTCTATGTGGACCAGGCTGGCCTTGATCCCAAAGAGATCTGTCTGTGTCTGCCTCCCTAAGGCTGGGATCAAAGCTGTGCACTGCCATGCACTCCCCTTCATATTACCTATTTTGAAAGAGTTCACAGTGCTTTAGAAATTTTATTTTGTATCATAAAATATGTTAATTATTTCAAGGAGCCTTGACATTTTAGAAAGTAATTATGTCCTGACACCCCCTTTTGGAAAAGTTTCACAGTATCCTCCGTTAGTAAATATACAGTTGAAAATTACAGTACATCAGTTTCAGCAGATAGAAAGAATCATGCTTCTAAGTACTAGTTTGCTTGAATATAAATTTAGAGTAAAAGGAATCTTGCAAAAACAAATGTTACAATCCTGTCATTTCCTTTATTAAGGTGTCTTAAGAAGTAACAGAGAATCTTGCAGTAACTATAGAAGGCAAAGGTATGATGGCAAAGTTCTTGATGAAGCAGGATGAACCAAAGCATGCAAAAACGAGCCCTTTTCTAGGGCTTTTTCAAATTAGCCAGTTTGGAAGTGATAAATGCTAGTTTGTTGTAATTGTTCACAATAGACCCAAAGTGTGTATAATTCAGTCACAAAGATAACTATCACCTACAACCATGCCTTGTCCTAATAAGTCTAATAGGGGAAGTGCAGGGCTAGAGAGATGGCTCAGCAGTTAAGAGCAGTGATTGCTCCTACAGAGGACCTGAATTCAGTTCCCAGGACCTACATGGTGGCTAAAAACCAACCGTCCATAACTCCAGTTCAGGGCATCTGATGCCCTCTCTGGGGACACTGCATACCATGGATGATGCACTTATATACATGCAAGCAGTACACTCATACACATAAAATAAGAATAATAAATAGAATATTTTTTTTTAATTAGGGGAAGTGCAGAATCTTACCCAATGTGGGTGGCCTCTGTCCTTCCCTCGCCAGTGAACACACATCTTGCTGCCAGGATGTCACCAAAAGTAACATCTACTGGGTGTTCCACGGGGTAGAAAGCCTGCCAAAAAAATAAATACAATAATTCACCAAAATTACCAGTACTACCCAGAATTCCATGGTTGATTTATGCAAGGCTTGGGGCATTGTGGGTAGAGAGATGAAGATAGATAAACAGATACCTCTTTACCTCCACACAAATAATTGCTGGATAAAAAGAGCTCCCCTTTAATTCATCAATTCCACATTTTGGTACAAATGACAGACTTTGGAAAAAAACAGATATAAAGGCATTCCCCCGTCCCAAATCAGAGTAGAAGAGCTTTCCCAAACCCCGACTACATGATCAGGCAGAAAGGGCTTCCCCTGAATACTGACATCATATTGAGAGAACTGATAAGGAAAGCACTAGACTGGAAGTTCTAAAAAGGAGGCTAGATATATAGGGAAGCTCAGATGTGTAGGGAAGGCAGATTTCGAGACATAGATTCTAGAGAAATTAACAAAAGTGTTACATAAGAATTTTTTAAAAAGTACTTCCTCTTGGAATTAGATGACTATGCGCACCTGTGGCAGCTGGGGGCTCTGGCGACCGATCAGCGTCCACTGTCCATTTCTTACTCGGTACCCACTCACTACCTTACCTAATGAAGATAAGTTAGAATCATGCAATACCATAAGCTAATAGAAAAGTAAAAGCCAGATTCATTTCTTTTAAAAAATAAAATCTGAATATTTTCAAAATGCAAAGTACTGAGTATCTTAATCAAACTCCATAAAAATTCAAGGTATTGTATAGTTATTTTCATTGAAATATACTTAAGGTCAAATATCATTTACATTTTACATTTATGACACTAAAAACCACAATGATAAATATTTATGATTTAACGTGTAGTTTAAAGTTCTTACCTAAGTGGTGTGTGTGAACTCTATAGGCAAACACATGCATTGGATACATTTTATAATGGCAGGAAATATCAGAATTCACCACTGTGAGAAATAAAACAGAGAGAAGTCATTATTCAAGTGGAAAATCTCTTAAGATACTAGGCACTTGGGTTTTCCCTGTGAATAAACATGTACTCATTTAATACTCAGTAGACATTAAGCATTTATTCTGTGCCAGCCATTTTCTTAAAATGAATTAAGAACCTCTTGCTTCACATTTTTATGTTAATCATCAACAAAATGATAGGGACTAAGTCAAAGTACACTGTACACGAAAACAGAGGAATAATTTATGCTTATTTTGAAATGCATCCATTTGAAAAACTCAAATACATTATTTTATTTTTTAACAATTTATTTTTATCTTATTAGTATTTTGCCTATTTTTAATCTTATTAGGATTTTGCCTACATGTATGCAGGTGTACCACATGGGTGCCTGGTGCCTGCAGTAGCCAGAAGAGGATGCCAGATACCCTGGGACCGGAGTTACTGATGGATATGAGCTCTCATATGGATCCTGGGAACCAAAGCCTGGTCCTCTGCAAAGAGTAGTCAGTGCTCTTAACCACTGAGCCATCCTTCCAGCCCCTATTTTTAATTTTAGAGCAAAAAGAATTTTAAAAAAGAAATTATAAATACCTAAAATCACTAAGTTAGTGGCTGCTACTTATAAGGAGCCCACCTTATATTTCTTATAGTCTAGCATGTAGTAGTCAGACAATAAATATTCTTTCATAATATAGAAAAATAGAATGAAATCATAATTGTACATGAACTTTAAAAGATTCCTACTCAAATATGTTTAATGTGACACTTTCATTTGATCATATAATATGTATTTTCATAGACACAATAATTTCAAATAATATCATACATATTTTCATAGTTTTATGTCAGGTTAGAAGAATTAGGTAGTATTTCCATTTTGCAAGTAGGTAAATGAGTATATCTAAGTACAAAGACTGAGCTGGTGTTGGATTTGATAGCCTCTTGATTTTGGACTTTTCTGTGCAGTAGTTGTATACCCTTGTACATAATGTAGTTTATTTTCTTATATCTAAAAAACAAATGATTGATATGCAAAATAAAATTAGCCCTATAAATTTCTAAAAATGTAGTATGTTTGTTCTTAGAGATTAGTTGATGGCATATGGCCAATTACTCACCTTTCTCCCCTGCTGGTATAACAGTGTCAACAGACATCATAAGGTACATGCCAGCAATTAAAGGCTGTCTGGAAAAACAAAAAGCAGAATTTCTCTAAATTCTGAGATAAAGCCAAAATATTCTCTTGGGAATGAGATGATATGAGATATTCTCTACACACTGGTTTTATAAAATGTGAGTCTTGTGTGCACTAAACTGATGCAGAATGGAAAAGAGATAGAATAGCTTATACATCTTCTTTCTTCAGTTTTGCTTGTTTTTACGAAGGTAGAGTGTAAATGGTTCCTGGGATGGCTAATTTTATTTGGCAACTTGTTTACATGGGTTCTGGTTGCTGGGTTACACACCAATGTGGGTGCTGTTGGGAAAGGCTTTGTTGTTGCTGTTGTTTTAGAAGTGATTAACATTTAAATCAGACTTTGCGGATCATTCGGATCATTCTCCATAATCTGGGCAGGTCTGATTCGGTTCTTGAAAAGCCGAAGAAATCCAACTGAGATCCCTTGAAAATGATGAAATTCTATCTACAAACTGCCTTTGGACCCAAGAATGTAAACAGCATCAATTCTTCCCTGAGTTTCCAGTTGACCCTGCAGATTTAGGACTTGTCAGTCATACAGGAGAATAAACTAATCCCTAAGTCTCAACCATTATGTCTCCTCTCCCTCTCCTCCCTATTACCCCCTCTTCTTCTACCTCTCTTGTCTTCTTTCCTTTCCTCCTTCTCCCTCCTTCCTATCTCTACCCTCCATAATTCAAGCTTCTCTGGAGAACCCTGACACAGCTGTTATGATTCTAAGCTGTGATGTTCACATTCTTGTCTACTCTGCTCCTCACTTGAGTGTGGGCACTGGAAGTGTAGGCACTTGTATCAAACAAACAGAACATGTCAAGTGTGACAGCATGCACTTCTAAGGTTAGGTTGTAAAAAGACTCTGGCTCTCATATAAGCCTTTTCTTGCCTTTATTATCATTTGCTTATTTTCTGTGATTGAAGCTAAGTACTATATTGTCAGCTACAGTGGTTACAGTTCCTATGAGGAAAAAAATGAGGGAGAACCCCAGTCATCTGCCAGCAAAGAGATGAATACTGCTGACAACCATGTGAGAGACTGGAGGTGGCTCTTCCATGGCTGAAACTAGCAATGACTTAACCACCATGGAGCCACAGCTGTGTGTAAGACACCTACTCAGGCTCCAGACCCACAAGACGTTGACATCATAAACATTCATCGTTTGGGGTCAGTAGATTCAGGTACATTTGTCTTCCACAATGGATAATTAAAACCGGGAAGTTCCTACTTTCAAGTTCTCAAAGATCTTATCTAGAAAAACTGCAGACACTTACGGCACACGTGTGAGATGTAAGGACACACCAGAGCAGTCTTTGTGATTATCTGAAAACATAAACACATGTCAAATAAGAACATGTGAAAAACAGATCTCAGACTATGAAATTTTAAATGGTCATAATATAATACGTAAAATATCAAATTATGTTGCATCTGTTTTCTGAAGGACTTTGCAGACTACTTTTGTATTAATTCCTCTCATTGCCAAGGCCTCATAAGAGCAAAGCCAAAGGTTTAAATCCTGACCTGTTACTGCTTTCCTACAGAAGCCCTGACAGTGGGTGAGAAGTCACAAAAGCAGGTGGCTGCTGTGCTCTGCATTGTATTTTCCAGAAACACCTGGAAAAGTTGGTGAAGTGGCTGAGTTGTTCGATAACCTACACAACCAGGTTTTATTTCTTTTCTAAAGCAGAAGCAGCCTATAGTTTGGGCTCTGAAGGCACTCTACTACCACTTCTAGAGTCTGCCATGTCTCAAATTGATGCATTGGAATCACCTTGTTTGCATTTCAAAAAATGCTCCTTCCTAATTTAAAAAAGGCATGTGAGCCTCATTCATCTTATACCGTAACTTCAGTAAGGGCCTCTGAATAACTCAGAGCAGCTGTGGTGCAAGATTTTGTGTAAGACCTACACAAAATCAAGCCCGCCAACTTTCCAGCAGAGGTGGAGGGGCTCTTGAACTCCCATGCCTAACTGAGGAGCTTTAGGTAGTTGATGGCTGCTGGTGGGGGGAGAGGGCCAGGTTTCTTAGAGGTGTCACCACTGGTAGACTACCCATGCTCCTGTGGATAACCCACCCCATTTTCATATGGGCAGCACTAACTGGACTCAGTAGTTATTAAAAATAAAGAAGGCATGAAGCTGGGAGATGGTCATGGTGTTGGGGGGAGGGTCTGGTTGGGGTCAGAAGAGGAAGATGTGGGGTGGATATAATAAAAATATATTGTACACACATACAAAATTCTCAAAGAATAAATATATCAAAAGTTAAAGTTCAAAACACTTGCCCCACCCCACAAATGCACATAAGGTACAATTCAAAATACCTGCAAAACGTCTTGTGTCTATTGAACTTACTGATCATCCACCAAACTCACACTTAATTCCTCATATTTCTGTGTGGTTAAATTCTTCCTATTTTACATTTTATCCTAAGTAATTCAACTAGTTTATGCCTCAACTTCAAGATTTTGTTTTTATGCCATTACTGAATTTGTGTGCATGCAAGGTAGATTTATACCAGAAATGAAGTAAAGTATATTAATAAATAACAGCAGATGGAACAGGCCTTTAAAGGGATTTTGTTAAACTTCAGTTATCATTTTCATGAGAAACAGCTTCATACAGAAATATATGCTAACAGGTAACTAGTTAGATCTGCTTTGATTTATGTTAGATAAGGCTTAGATAAAAAGTGCACAAATCACACTTAAAACTTTGTGTATAAAATACCAAATATTTCTCCATATTATATTATTTGATCTTAAAAATAATATAAAAATAGTTTTAAAACTTTTAATATTCATGATGGTTCTTATTAAGGGTCAACTTGATGGAATCTAGAATCACTTGGGAGTTGGGCTTCTGGGCCTGACTGTGTGGGATTACCTTCATGGCATTAATTGAGGTGGGAAGAGCTGCCCTCTGCAGGCAGTACCACTCCCTGGCTGAGATCCTGGACCATATAGGTGGAAAAGGGAAGCAGTGTTCTTGCCTCCCTTTGTATTTCTAGTTGTTAATTTGATGCAACCAGATGCTTCAAGCTTCTGCTGCCTTGAGTTCCCCACCATGATGGACTGCACCTTGAATTTGGCTAAAATCCCCCTAAATTTCTTTTGTCAGAGAAAAATTCCCCTAAATTTCCTTTATCACAACAGGGAGAGAAACTAAAACAGTGTTTAATTCTCAACCTCTCTCTCTCTCTCTCTCTCTCTCTCTCTCTCTCTCTCTCTCT